AAGTACACAGCATGGCCTAGATATCGTCCCAAAAGTGTTTCACCTGCATCATATCAAGTGGTCTGCTCTAACTTCCAGTTTGTAGTAACAAGTGAAATGATATCACCAGAAATCAATCAGGGACAAATCTAGATAACTGACCAGGTCCTTTCAACAAGTCATGTGGAGGGGGTAGCAAGGGGAGGGGAGGGAAAAAGGTAACCGTTCTAGAAAAAAGAGACTTCAAGAGATAACACAAATCAACTGCAATCTGTGGCCTTTGATTAGAAACTGGATTTAAAAACAGTTTTTTAAAAAAGAGACAATCTGGAGAAATTTTAATAAGAATTGAGTATTAGATAATATAAAAGAATTACTGTTCACTGTAATTATGATATTGGGATTGGCGTGGGAAAATGTTCTTTTTATTAGAGATATTAAAATATTTAGAGGTTAAATGTCAAGAATAGGCTAGGCGCGGTGGCTCACACCTGTAATCCCAAGACTTTGGGAGGCCAAGACTGGTGGATCACTTGAGGTCAGAAGTTTGAGACCAGGCTGGCCAACATTGTGAAACCCCGTCTCTACTAAAAATATAAAAATCAGCTGGGTGTCAGGTCACACACCTGTAATCCCAGCCACTTGGGAGGCTGAGGCACAAGAATCTCTTGAACCCAGGAGGCAGAGGTTGTAGCGAACTGAGATCGTACCACTGCACTCCAGCCTGGTCAAAAGAGCAAGACTACATCTCAAAAAATAAAAATAAAATAAAATTTAAAACATCAAGAATAAAAGCAAATATGGCAAAATATTAACAGATTTTGAAATCTGAGTGATAGGTTTACAGGGGTTCAATATTTTTTCTACTTTTCTGGTTTAAAATTTTTCATAATAAACAGTAAAATGAAAAAGCTTATAGGAGGCCAGGCACGGTGGCTCATGCCTATAATCCCAACACTTTGGGAGGCCAAGGTGAGTGGTTTACCTGAGGTCAGGCGTTCAAGACCAGCCTGGCCAACACAGCGAAACCCCCTCTCTACTAAAAATACAAAAAATTAGCCAGACATGGTGGCAGGTACCTGTAATCCCAGCTACTCGGGAGGCTGAGGCAGGAGAATCGCTTGAACCTGGGAGGTGGAGGTTGCAGTGAGCTGAGATCGTGCCGCTGCACTCCAGCCTGGGCACCAAGAGCAAAACTCTGTCTTAAAGAAAAACAAAGCTTATAGGGAAAATATGGCCTGGATGCAGTGGCAGCACACTTATAATCCTAGCACTTTGTGAGGCCGAGGCAGGAGAATCACTTGAGGCCAGGAGTTCAAGACCATTCTGGGCAACACAGCAAGACCTACTCTTGATAAAAAAAAATTTCTTAATTAGCTGGGCATGGTGGCACGCACCTGTAGTCCCAGCTACTAAGAAGGGTGAGGCGGGAAGAGGATTGCTGGGGCTCAGGAGTTTAAGGGTGTAGTGAGCCATGATCACGCCACTGCACTTCAGCCTAGGTGACTGAGCAAGACCCTGTCTCAAAAAAAAAAAAAAAAGCTTTTAGGGAAAATTATTACCACCCCCTCCTGTTTCCTAGCCACCATCACTTCCAGCCAGTCATGAGTTTGTTTTCCAGAGATATTTTTCAATTTTTTTTGCATGAAAATACAAAACATAAAATTTACCATCTTAATCATTTAAGTGTAGTTTAGTGGCATTAAATACATTCATAATGTTGTACCACCATCACTACCATCCATCTCCATAACTATTTGCATCTTGCATAACTGAAACTTTATATCCATTAAACAGTAACTCCTCATTTCCTCCTCCCTCAACCCCTGGCAATTCTACTTTCTGTCTCTATGATTCTGACTATCCTCCACAAAGAATATTCTATGCATATACGGTTGTCCCTTGCTATCCATGGGGGACTGGTTCCAGAATCTCCCTCAGTACCAAAATCTGAGAATGCTAAAAACTCTTATATGAAACGGCACAGTATATGCATGTAACCTATGCATACCTTCCACATACTTTAAATCATCTCTAGATTACACAGAAGACCTAATACAATGCCTACACATAACCTCATTCTGTGGATGCAATGAAGTATGTACTCAGCACGTAGCAAATTCAAGTTTTGCTTTTCAGAACTTTGTGAATTTTTTTCCCCCAAATATTATCCATCCAAAGTTGGTAGAATCCATGGATGCAGAACCCATGGATGGATATGGAGGACCAATTGTATATGTAATACATAATATTTTTATAAAACCACAGTGGTCGCAAAATGCATACCCTCTTTTGCACCTTTTCTTTCTCACTATATGGGAGGTCATTCAATATTAGCACATATAGAGTTGGCTCATTCTTTCTAGCAAATGCATACATTTATTTAACCAATCCTTTACTGATGAAGACCTGGGAGCTTCTTGATAGTTTCTTTCAGATTAAAACATGCACACACGCGTGCACACACACACACTCGACTGTAGGGTTTCCACTAGTGATTTTACACGTTAGAGGTCCAAGTAGAGCATTCATATGTAACTTGTCTGCCCAGGTGCTCTTATTCATTGGGTACACAAATTAATCCTAAACTCTCCACTAAGGTACTCCAATTACAAAACACGCAGTACACAGACTTCTCACTTAGCCATTCCTGGTCCCAGACCCAAGTCGTCTAGCATCTACCATTCCTTTCAACTCTTGTAGAGCAGCCTTCAGACTACATTTGCACTAATCTAGATGTACAATAATCGCTATTCATAGTCTTTCCTTTTTAAATGCCTTCCTTTTAATCAAAACAATTGAGGCCGGGTGCAGTGGCTCACGCCTGTAATCCCAGCAATTTGGGAGGCCAGGTGGATTACCTGAGGTCAGGAGTTCGAGACCAGCCTAGCCAACATGGTGAAGCCCTGCCTATTAAAAATACAAAAAGCCAGGCAGGTGGTGGGCACCTGTATTCCCAGCTACTTGGGAGGTTGAGACAGGAGAATCACCTGAACCCAAGAAGCAGAGGTTGCAGTGAGCTGGGATCATGCCACTGCACTCCAGCCTGGGTGACAGAGCAAGGATCTAAAAAAAAAAAAAAACCAAAACACACACACACACACTAGGTTCTGAATTCAGCTGATCAGATTCGTTCACATCCTCTACCTCCTGCCAGGCCATTTTATTTATTTATTATTAATTTTTGAGATGGAGTTTCGTTTTTGGAGTGCAATGGCAGGATCTCGGCTCACTGCAACCTCTGCCTCCCAGGTTCAAGCGATTTTCCTGCCTCAGCCTCCTGGGTAGCTGGGATTACAGGCATGTGCCATCACACCCAGCTACTTTTGTATTTCTAGTAGAGACAGGGTTTCTCCATGTTGGTCAGGCTGGTCTCAAACTCCTGACCTCATGTGATCTGCCCGCCTCAGCCTCCCAAAGTGCTGGGATTACAGGCGTGAGTCATTGCGCCTGGCCCCTTCCAGGCCATTTTTAAGTTCTCCTCAAAAACCATCTAGTATTTCTAATTAAAGGGCTCCTACCATCTTCTAGACTCAAGAGTTAACTCTAGGCATGGCGCGGTATTTGGCAAATGTGTGGTAGATACTGAATAAATTCTAGTTGCATCTGAATATTGTCTTTCATTATTTCATTCACGACCAAATTTGAGAATGGGGCTTAAAACAAATTTTAAGATTTCCCATGGTATTTACAACAGTCCTAAGCGCTTAGTAAGTACTCAAAAGTTATTTGTGGGCCGGGCGCGGTGGCTCACGCCTGTAAACCCAGCACTTTCAGAGGCCGAGGCGGGTGGATCATCTAAGGTCAGGAGTTCGAGACTAGCCTGGCCAACGTGGAGAAACCCCGTCTCCACTAAAAACACAAAAATTAGCTGGGCGTGGTGGTGGTGCATGCCTGTAATCCCAGCTACTCGGGAGGCTGAGGCAGGAGAATCTCTTGAAACTGGAGGGCATGCCTGTAATCCCAGCTACTCGGGAGGCTGAGGCAGGAGAATCTCTTGAAACTGGAGGGCGGAGGTTGCAGTGGGCCAAGATCCCGCCACTGCACTCCAGCCTGGGCGAAAGAGTGAAACTCCGTCCTAAAATAATAATAATAATAATAATAATAATAATAAATAAAAATACAAAAAGTTAGCCAGGTATGGTAGCAGGTGCCTGTAATCCCAGCTACTGGGGAGGCTGAGGCAGGAGAATCCCTTGAATCCAGGAGGCGGAGGTTGCAGTGAGCCGAGATGGCGCCACTGCACTCCAGCCTGGGCAACAAGAGCGAAAGTTTGTCTCCAAAAAAAAGTTATTTGTCGTTTGAATAAATTGGATATAAACCATTATGGTGGATACAGCACTTATTTGCGAGGTAAGAGAGCTTGGCTTACCTAGGATGACAGCCTCAAGTTGCTAAAAGCCATGGATATCTCAAACTTCTCAATAAGATGGCTTAATCTTACTCCCAAAGATGATTACACAACAAATTGAAAGGGGAACAGGGTGTAAAGCGTTTCCTCTCTACAATTATACACCGAGATTCGGACTAAATATTAAACGGACACAGTAAGCTGTTATTATTTGTTATTAGTTGTTGTTATTAGGACGCATCCCACAAGGAGAGAAACGAAAGGAGGAAAAAGAACGGAGGTTGTCAGTCGCGAGAGGCTGAAATGTGTTCCTGGCCTGAGACCTACGAGCTTTAAGGACCAGGGTCTTTGGACTCCCTGCCCACCTGGGGACCGAAGGAGGTCAGCGGCTTCCCCTAAAGGTCAAGGCTTTGGAGCCACGTTTCCTTCTGGGGCTGGGAGCAGAGCTGGAACGCCCCCGCGAAAATCCGTACCCCGAAGCCAGCAGCACCGCCTGCCCATAAACCCGCGCCGGCTCTGGGAGAGCGGACCACCAGCTCGCCCCCGCGCCGCAGCCCGCAGGAGTAGAAACCCGGCGGTGTCTCGCAGCCCCACAAGCTGCCTGAGGGACAGACCACCAGGACCCTTGGGCTCCGATACCCTCAACGCAGGCCGGCCCGTCGATACTCACATTCACAGCCAACCCCGCTTACTCCATCAGGCCGTCGTGGGCCAGGCGAGGGAGCTCCCTGACGCCCCAGACGCCCCCTTCAGTTTTGGGTCCGGGAGCCTGCTCCGGACCCGCTCCCCGCCGGGCCCCGCCACAGCCGCCGCCAGCGCGCAGGCGCACACCGAGGCCGTCACGCTCTTTTTTTTTTTTTTTTTTTCCTTTGCGGTCCGCCGTTTTCAATAATCTAGCTTTATTTGAACACGAGAGTGAACAACGGACACACAGGAAGAGGTTTTTCTCAAAAAGAATGGAGGAAGAACAAAGGCAGGCCAGCTTGCGGGAGAGTCAGTACGCAGCGTCGGACGCTATGAACAGCCTCCCTGGTCCCTTTTTCATTCTCCTTGTTTCTCCTTGTTCTTTCCCCGCCTCCCTCTAGCTCCTGCTTTCTTCCTTCGTGTCCCGCCATTTCCTTTAGTCAGTGGCAACTGTTCGGGCTAAATTTTGAAATCACTCCTTCCTTGTAAAACTTACTGAAGTTTAATGGAAGGTGCAAGAGCTTTAGAACAGACAGACCTGAGTTTCAGATCTTGAACTAGCTACTACTAATTTGTGACTTTGGGTAAACTACAGTTCTTGGAATCTCAGGTTCTTGAGTTAAAATTAGGATAATGTTATCTCACAGGGTGTTGCTACGATTAAATAACATAGGTCAAGTGTTTATCCATGAATGCTGCCTATCACAGAGCAGACATTCCATAATACTGATTTTATTCTTACTCATGCCTAAGGTATTTATAATATTTTTAAAATAGAGACGGGTTTCACCATGTTGCCCAGGCTGGTCTCAAACTCCTGGGCTCAAGTGATCGGCCTGCCTCGGCCTTCCAAAGTACTGGGATTGAAGGTGTCAGCTACTGCGTCCAGCCTACATTTATTATGTATGTATGTATGTATGTATGTATGTATGTATTTTGAGACGGAGTCTTGCTCTCGTTCAGGCTGTAGTGCAGAGCCATTATCTTGGTTCACTGCAACCTCCGTCTTCCGGGTTCAAACGATACTTCAGCCTTAGCCTCCCAAGTAGCTGGAATTACAGACGTGCACCACCACGCCCAACAGATTTTTGTATTTTTAGTAGAGATGGGGTTTCGCTATATTGGCCAGGCAGGTCTCAAACTCCTGATCTCAAATGATCCACCCACCTCGGCTTCCCTAAGTGCTGGAATTACAGGTGCGAGCCACCACGCTGGCCGGCTATATTTATTATTAAATTTAGCCCATACCCATTCCCTCAGAAACCTAATTTTAGTGACTAAGACTAGTCAGATAAATGAAATGACATTAAGGGTGATAATTATGTGAAGTGTTCCTCCTATATTATTGAGATTATAACATCTGTGTTTAACAAGACCTTCAATGCCTCAAATGAAAGTAAGCAGCGACGGGGCGCGGTGGCTCACGCCTGTAATCCCAGCACTTTGGGAGGCTGAGGCGGGCGGATCGTGAGGTCCGGAGATCAAGATCATCCTGGTAAACATGGTGAAACCCCTTCTCTACTAAAAATACAAAAATTAGCAGGGCGTAGTGGTGCGTGCCTGTAGTCCCCGTTACTCGGGAGGCTGAGGAAGGAGAATCGCTTGAATCCGGGAGTGGGAGGTTGCAGTGAGCCGAGATCGCGCCACTGCACTCCAACCTAGCGACAGAGCGAGACTCCCTCTCAAAAAAAAAAAAAAAAAAAAAAAAAAAGGAAGCGGCTATATTCATCTCTTCTATGTAAATCCAGATTTGTTCTAGAGCTTTAGGAAATTTCCAGTTCCGTGTTTGTGACATCACAAGTCCTTGAAACACTCAAGAGCTGTGGCACACTGCTCATTCTATTCACCTTCAAAGGCATGCAATGGAAGAACTATTTTACCCTATAAACTCTGGGCCATCATTCCAGGAAAAGCCTGTAGAAGACTACAGTCAGATATTGGTGAGTGCCAAGGTAACGCTAGATTAGGGTTTCTCAACTTTGGGGTTACTGACATTTTGGAACATAAACTTTTTTGTCAGGGGAATCCTGTGCATTGTAAGATGTTTAGCAGCAGATTGGGAGTGGTGGCTCACACATGTAATCCTAGAACTTTGGGAGGTCAAGGGAGGCAGATTGCTTGAGGCCAGGAGTTTGAGACCAGGCTAGGTGACATGGTGAAACCCTGTCTCTACAAAAAATGCAAAAATTAGCGGGCAGTGGTGGTGCACACCTGTAGTCCCAGCTACTCCGCAGGCTGAGGTGGGAGGATTTGAGCTGCAGAGGTAGAGGCTGCAGTGAGCTGACATCACGCCATTGCACTCCACCCTGGGCAACAGAGTAAGACGTCTCTCTCTCTCACTCTCTTTCTGTTTTATATATATATATAATATATATATATGTGTGTATGTGTGTGTGTTTAACACCACTGCTGGACACGATGCTAGCAGTACCCACCCCTGTTTCCCTGTCATCACAATAAAGCATCTCCAGACATTGCCAAATATCCCCTGGAGGACAAAATCATCCCTGGTTGAGAACCACAGAATTATATCAATGACCATCACAACCCTAAATGAACTAATTAACTCAACTGTACATTTTCTCCACCTCTGCCCTCAAAAAGTGACTGCTGCTTGAGAAAATTACACAGGAGGGCAGAAAATGGTGAATTCATTTTTGCCCATATTAAAAAGGACCTCAATATTGCTTATCAGTCCTACAACGTTTTTCTGTCAACTTGTTGTATTACTTTCTACAATATTCCCAATCTTCTCAACTTTCCTTTAAACTCCCAATACCACTTCCTTTTCTATCGGAAGATGACCCCATCTCCAACTTCACAGAGAAAACAAGTTAGCAAATGAGAACTTTTAACTTCCTGTTACTAAACATACAGAAACATACTTCCTGTCATAACTGGGGAGATATCTCCTCTATCTCTCTTTCTCCTCTCCCTCCTCTCTTCCAAAACCATTCCTCTAACCAGTGTTTTGAATTGCCTCTAAACTGCCTCTATTCTTACCCTTTCACGATCTTTGCCTACTGACTGTCCCTTCTCTTCCTTTATTCAACCATTTTTTTTTCTCAGTTGAATCTTCCCTACCATACTCAAGTTTCTCCTGTCTTAATTCTAACAACAACAACAAAAAAACCAGTAACAAAAAAATCTTGATCCTTCATCATTCTCCCTCCTTCCTCCCTGTCAAGGCCAAACTTTCCAAAAGCATTCTACAACTTGTCCCCGTCTCTACATCTCCCCCATCTCCAAACTAATAAGTTGTTTTTTTCAACACCAGCATTCCACCAAACAGCTTTCACTGACATAATCAGTGACCTCTGTGTTATGAAATTAAAAAAAAACATTTCTCAGGCTTCATCTTCCTTGATCCCTTAGGAACAGACAATTTCCTCCTTGAAGCACTGTTTTTCTGTTTGTTTTTTTTTGTTTGTTTTGAGAGGGAGTCTGGCACTGTCGCCAGACAGTGATAGACATTATGATAGTAATGTAGCTGGGATTACAGGCGCCTGCCACCACACCCAGCTATTTTTTCTATTTTTTGGGGGGGGGGTAGGGGGGGACCGAGTTTTGCTCTTGTTGCCCAGGCTGGAGTGCAATGCGTGATCTTGGCCCACTGCAACCTCCGCCTCCTGGGTTCAGGCGATTCTCCTGCCTCAGCCTCCCGACTAGCTGGAATTACAGGCGTCTGCCACCACACCCGGCTAATTTTTTGTATTTTTAGTAGAGACGGGGTTTCTCTATTTTTGCTAGGCTGGTCTCGAACTCCTGACCTCGTGATCTGCCCGCTTCAGCCTCCCAAAGTGCTGGGATTGATTACAGGTGTGAGCCACTGTGCCTGGTGAAGCACTTTATTTTCTTGATTTCCAGCAGTTTGTTTTATTCTTAGAGGTGCGTGGAAGGGTTCCTGCAGCAAATAGTTTACAATAATCATCCATCTGCTTAAAACTCTTCAATAGTTTTCAGTGCCCATAGTACGAAGTGGTCTAAAATTCCAAGGCCTTCCAAAATCTAGCGATTGTCGGCCTTCTAAAGCTTTCTTCCCTCTACACTCTGGGATGTACGATTAGCACTAAGCCTGTTGCAAGGATGAACTACTAGAAATTTCCAGAAGGCGTTATGCTGTTCTCAACATAAACTGTTTCCCAGAGCCTGGAAAACTCTAGCTCTTTCTCTGCCGGATTTCCGGGGGAACTCCTACTTATCCTTCAGGACTCAAGTCACTTCCTCCAGGAACCCTTCCAGACACCCCTAAGAATAAAACGCTTTGTTCATTATCAGCCAAAGGCGCCTCATATTTTCTATGTGCTATGCACTGTATTCTATCCACCATAAATTTGTTTATAGATCTATATCTTAGTCTAGACATATTGAAAGACGCTGAAGGGCAGGGAAAGCATTCTATTCGCTTTCTTTTCTTCATCGTTCATCCAGCACAGTGCCTGGCACACGGTGTGCCCTCAGTAAATGTTTATTGCATGAACACCTCCCAGCTTCGGGCATGACCGGAATCTATCCGGTTAACTGGTGAATTCCCAGACTCTCCGCCTGCGTGGCAGGGACATTTAAACCCCCAGCACCGTGATTGGCTCCAGCTGCAGGGGTGTGTCCGTGTCCTCGGCGCACGGGATGTGCGCAGGCGCGCAGGCTCGGCGCGCGCAGGCGCGACTAGGGCGCCGCGCCAGGTCCGGTGTTGGGGTGTCCGAGCTGCGGCTGGAGAGGAGTGGCCTTACCCGCTTGGTGAGTCTCCAGGAGTGGGACGGAGGGAGCTGACCGGGATGAAGTCGGAGAGTATGTCCTGAGAAGAAAGAGTATATCGTATTGGTTGAAAAGTTGGTGGGGTCGGGCTTAAGCGGGGGAGGGGGCGCTCTGGCCCTTACTGGGCAAATGGGCCCGGAGCGAGGACGGGAGGTGCCGTGAGAACATCGAGGGGCCAGTGGAGGAAGGTGGCTGGATGGTGATTCTCTGGACCCTTCCTCGAAATTAAACAGAGATCACCTCCGGTCCCTCACCCCCACTGTGTTGCTGTGGTTGACATTAATAGACTGCATGTCTGGTGACCACGGTGACCAGATAGCTCTGAGATAATGGCTTGAGGAAGGAGTCTGAGGTTCCTGGTATTGGATAGCACTTTCTCTGTAAAAAGGTTCAG